ACACACACACACACACACCTGTCAATCACACCTGTGGACCAGGGGCGGGTTTTGATGATCGATTTATCGATTAAATCGATCTTGGATTACGTGATATCGATTCATTAAAATCCTGAAGCGTTTTTTTAATATAAATTTATTTTGCCCGAAACGCCAGAATCTCAGGTTAAACCTCACAAATTCCAACAACCACCAAACAGCTGAAACAGTGAATGAGAGCAGGAACACGATTCTGCACAAAGACGTAAACGCAAAGCTCGACCCGCCGACGCATCGGCGAGCTGTCGCCCCCGACGGCACGGACACGGTCGGGGCTGAAAGCCGACAGCTCGCTGATTCTGAAGCTGCAGGTTTTATATCTGCTAACAACATCGACTGAAGCAGCAGCCACAGACGATCCAAACTACGCTTCATATTTAGCTTCACATAAACATCGTCAGGAATCCCTCTGACTGCTTCCACCACGATAAAAATCACACTTCATGTAGAGCTCTCTCTCTCCCTCTCTCTAAATCGATAATCCAAACCCACCCCTGCTTATTACCCAACAGTCCACGGTGTCGGCCGCTGCTTTTTGTTTTGTTTTACTTCTGACAAGCCTCATTTCTGCTGTTCAATGCTGAACATATTTAAACTTTTTAAAATGAAGCCAAACTGCAAAATGCTGTCTGTAATCAAACCTCTGTAACTCTGCTTCACTTCGTTTTTGACTGCACAATATTTTCAGGGTCATCTGCTATAAAATCCCAGACCAGGAAAACCTCCTTCACGTGTTTCTGTTTCATCCTCAGCTACTTTGACACAAAAGCCTCTGCTGCGACGCTCACACCTGTGATAAAGTCTCACAGTGTCAGCTTTCTTTTTATAGATATAAAATATGGATATGTGCTGATAAGTGATCAGAATTATAATATTTCTGACTGTCTGAGGCAAAATTTCCCCGATTCAAATTGAATCGAATCAAACTGTGGATCGAATCGATTCTAGAAATCAGTGAGAATACCCGGCCCTACTGAGGACAGGACGCACTCCTTTCTGTCACACCTGAGGACAGGTGTGTCCGTGCTCACCTCGGCCCCTCCCCGTGGAGAAGCACTTAAAGAGGACCATCCTCATGTCCAACCCCTCCTGGATCCAGATCTTGTTCATGATGCGGATCATCTGCAGAGTCAGCATGTCCTGCCTCAGGTCGTCTCCTGACTGCACACAAAGAGAACAGCCGGGGTCAAAGGTCAGCTCGCAGAGGTCGCTGTGTCTGGGATCACTAGTAAGGGGTGTCACCTTGAAGATGACACTGATGTTGTCTCCCAGTGGGTCCCGGTTCTGGAAGGACAACTTCAGAGGGACAGCGTTGGAGTTGAAGAACGAGCAGGACTGGAAACCACAGAAGAGGAAGATTAACTTTGTCCAATCAGATACAAACGCCAGCTGGGGGCGTGTCTCCTGTCTTTAAGGTATGTGCGTACCTGGATGTTGATGCTGGTGACGAGCAGTGCTGGGTTCAGAGGAAGCCTGCAGCTGCTGTTCACCGAGAAGAACTGCTTCATCTCCTCCAGACTGTCTCTGAGGACACACTGAACACACACACACACACACACACACACACACACACACACACACACACACACACACACACAGTATGAGTCTGAGGGTTCAGACGCCTGTTTCAGGGTCAAATCCAAAAAAACAAGACAGCCAGGCAGAGAACTGAAGTCCGACCAGGTACCAAAGCTGTACAAATAATGTAAATATGACGGTGTATCACGAAAGACTGATATCAAACTGATACGTTTACGTTACTCGTTCTTCAAGTGAATCAGCAAATGGTGAAATAAAAAGCCGAACAACAACAATGCTGTTTCTGAGAGTCTCAGCTTACATGTGTGTTTATTTCATATTTTCAGTTGTTTCCCTCCACGGCTAAATAAATCTGTTTCAGTAATGCACTGATATACAAGAATGGACATAAGGAGCTTCTTTCAAAG